TTAGTGCATATTATCTGGTCTTTACGTAGACACACATCTCGAATGAAGAAAATGATTTCTCCAGAAGATGACTCAATGCTAAAGACACATCGAAGTGCAGCCAAAACAATCCTGTCTCTTCTCCTGATCTATGCTCTGTTTTTTACTTCTCTGATTATGAACTTCAGTGTCCAACCCTCTAATAATATTTTGTTTTATTTATGGTGGCTTGCTGTATGGATGTTGATGTCTGTTTCTCCTGCTCTTTCTGTTGTTCTTATCTTTGGTAATTCCAAACTACGGCTAGCACTTCAAAAGATATGTTCTCCTATAACAGGCTCAATTCACAAAGATTCAACACAAGGATGAGGAGCTCTTTATTCAACTATGCAACTATTTTTTCAAATTAGATGTGAACTGTGTTGAAAATAATTGTCATATTTTGAAAACAATGCATGCTTTTCTTGGTGTGTGTTAGCTTTGTGAATTGAATTATTGAGTTAATAAATTATGTATAAAAGTAATAAAAAAAAAGGTAAATTGGGAAGGATGTTAAGAAGGTTATTAAAATGTTCAAGTAGTAATATGAAGGGTTTCATGTTTTTAGTTTTTTGTTTGTAAAGAGTCTCATTAATCCAGGACATGATATACTGTTGCTCACAGTTAGAACATTTGTTAAACTACCATATTCTATGTCCATAATCCCAATGCTTACACAGTAATGCATCACCGAAGGTGTGGACTGTTGTAAAATGAGATTCCTGAAAAGGTCCTTTTACATTGAACTGTAACAACCATACCTAAATGGGACCTTCAGCACCATCTGTGATGCAAATGTCTTTTAATACCCTTTCTTCAATGATATGGCAACTGATAACATCTATAGACATTTAATGGATAAGTTCACCTTTAGGAACATGTTACATGCTCCGCCTGGTTTTAGGGTGAAAAATGTAACGTGTTCTCGCTCCTGCAGCCTCTTCCCAACCCCCCTTTTCTGTGACAGCTGGTCAGGGATCTTGTCCCCATACCTGTTGTCACTATTTGAAATGAGCGTGGTTGTGTGGGGCTCCAGTCACTCGGCTGTGTTATTCATTCACAGAGTTCTGTGAATGAATGAACTATAAGGACTAGGGCACTACTGAGTGCTCCTGGTAATTCACTGATTCTTTTCTCATTGTGTAACTACCTGCCCATATGAGGTATGAGCAGACAGCTTACATCAAACAACAAATAAAGGAGATCTTCCAAACCTGTGGAAGTCAATAGAGTCACAAGCCCAGGAACAGTTAAAATTGAAATTCACTTAGACACATAGAGAGGCCCAAAATCCAAGGAGCACCTTCAGGCTTTCTAGGGGTATAAATTATGCATCTAATTTCCTGACCACTTATCACCTGTGTGGAGGCTAATGTTGAGTTAAAAAGCATGACATGTAGGAGTGCCCAGATTGATACGTCATCAAGCCAGTGGAGAGGAGAACATATTTCCAGAAGTAGATGAGTATGACACATAATTCTGGACCCAACAGTAGGTTGCTCAGCCCAGGAGCCTCAGGACAGTGGGAAGGGTGTGGATAGCAGCTGCCGGGATCACTAAGATGGTGCATCCACCAGAAGTCATGAGACCCAGAACCGGTTGTTATGTCATGCACCTGGAGAGAGACCACCTGAACAAGGGCTAGCGAGGGTAAACTGGAAAGCCTATGAGAGCACTCAAAGCAAAGTAGAGAAGCCGGTCATCATGATAACATGTTTCAGGAGCTTGCCCCATTGTCAGATCATGGTTACATTGCAAGCTTACATTGCCTATATGCAGGAGCTCTGCTTTTCACCTACGATCTACTGATCGCGGGTGCAATGTTTTTCCAAGCCCCTGCAAAAAAAAAAAAAATAGTAAATGCACATTTTTGTTAACTGCAAAAAAAGTACATTTTTATTAAAAGGTGAACTTATCCTTTAACTTGAACAATAAACTCTCAGACTTCATGGCATGATGGTGATTGGATAAAGGAAACAGAACAGGGGGATTTACAACATTTTCCCATTTCTTGTCATTTTCTTGGACAATCAACATTTACTTTGACACATTTCATGGTGATTGGATAAAGGTAACTAACTTCACCATGTGGATATAAATACTTGAGAATGTTCCTGACGCTTTTTAGAGTTGAAGAAGGTTATTGGTGGTAAAATAGCTCCAACATTAAAAAGTTAGTCCAGCTGAATATGGCTTACTGCTAATAGGTTTTTTTTTGTGTCATGTATAAAATCTGTTCTTGTTTCTTTGTAATGACCAGTTAGACTAGAAGTAGCACGTGACAATAAAAGCTTGAAATGGAAACTGAATATTATTGTTTTTTGTATTATTTTATGGCTGATTCTTACAGAAGCCAATAGTGGCTTTGGGTTCATTTTTGCCATACTGCAGAATAAAGAGTCACCATTTGGAAAAAAAACCTTCCATGAGGAAGGGGCTGACAGGGAATAGTTTGATATAATATGACCATTCCAATAGAGGCAATGATCCTCTAAAATTGTGTTTTTAGTTGTCCAATATAAACAAAAATGTGTTACATTGCCCTAAAATGAAATTATAGTAAAATATATTGCAGATACAAAGAAGTTTGTGCTATTGATGCAGCTTACATGCTAATACCCTATCATAGATCTTCTGTGTAAAGCCTTTTCATGTGCAGCCAACCCCACCTGCCCCTTAAATCCTTAGTTTAAGAAACAATGTGTTTAAAAAATCAGCACAATGGATGTTACTTACATTTCAGGTCCATTGTGAGGGTGCAGGCTATAATAGTGGAAGTCCAAATCTTCTGATGTGACGGGGTTGATATCAACACTAGACCTGTGACAAGAACTCATCAAGAGTGGCTGTCAGTCATCGGCTCTCTGCTCTGCGCCTCCAGTGTTTGATGGAACTCTGAGCTCAGGAGGGGATAGGAGAGGCTGGCTCAGGCTCTCAGCAGCTCACTGAGTCAGCTGCCACGCAGACATCTGGATAAATTCCAACAAAAAGGTCAGGATCCCTCCAGAGTCTGGACCACCTGAGTGATGTCGGCCACCAGTGGACTGAAACCGGCTGTTGGCTGAATCTGGGTCACAGGTAGGGGCAGACTGACCATTTGGAAACTCGGGCACTGCCCGAGGGCCCTGGGTCAGTAGGGGGTCCCATGAGATGCCCATGGTACCTTTTTCATAGGCTTTTTTGAGTTTGGGAAAGGACACAGGGGCCCATGATCCCCTATTGCCCGGGGGCCCCATGAGTTGTCAGTCCGCCCCTGGTCACTCCTGTGACCTACAAAGGAAGTAGGGCCAAAAGAGCTTTGGCCCTATTCTCCTCTAAGGTAGCCCATTCCTCCCTCAAGGTGCAGGGACACACTAGAGGCCCAGCAAAGCACAATGACAGCTGATGGTGCTCAATGTGTCTATGGTCCAATTCCAGCAGGCTAAACCACCCCGTTTTAAAACAAACTTTAGAGTACAAGCACATGGAAAGGCTTTACACAGAACATAAATAAATGTATTTCCCAGCATACTTGCCAGCTAGCCTACAGAAAAAAATGTACAGTACAGAGTGACATATACTGTACACATAAGACCATAGATAGATTTTCTCATATGTAAACTGCAAACCTATTGAATTAATCTGTCATGCAGGCTTTTGAATACATTTAAATAAGGTAAATGCCAAATAACATATGTATTTTACAGAGGTAATTTAGTACGTGTCTTAATATACAGCTTCATAGGTTACTCCAACCCTTCATATTTCAGAAACCATGATTTGTAGATAATAGTAATTAGTCACATCCTGCTGGACTTGTTCTAAAAAATATAATAAATTATTGATGTCTCACAGCTCATGCATCGTCATCTTCAATTCTAATGAGTGTCAGGAACATGCCCTAGTATTGATAGCCCTACAGTCACTTTGATCCAAGCACAGTGATGCCATGTAATGTGACTGTAGTATGAAGCTGAGGGACTTACCCATATGGTCATAAATTCTGGACAATGTTCCTGATACTCTTTCCCTCTCAATTCTGCACTCATCCAAGTGGTTTTCACTGTTATCCATTCAAATAAGTGCAGAAATGCCTTTAAATTTACAAAACAAGTTCAGTTGATTGTTACTATTTTTATCCATATCATGACTTAGGTAAAAAGAGCCTTTATAGACAAATTGGTTTGGAGGTCCATAGTCCCCATCCAAAAGGGTTGTTGCAGAACCATCAGAAGAAGATCTATGACCACACTTTCAATTCAAAAAGGAAATGGGCATGATACAAGAAGTGCCATTATCCCTGTGAATGTACAATGGCAAAACCCTCTTAGCCGCAAGACTTTTGAGGCACAAATTAAACCAAAAGTATTATAAAGAATAATAGTTTAAAGAACCATGTTTTATGTATACAAAATTATAAAAGGCATATACAGTAGCTACAAAATATTGCGGCATCACCAAACGTGATTTTACAATGAGTAAAGGAAGATGAGTCATGCATATATTTGCACTTGGCGCGTTTCGAGACCAATGCACACGGGATGTTTTGCAAACTGTTCTAGAAGCCTTTCCTTCTGGCAGCAGCATTTTGGTAGAAAAAACACCTGACGCTTGTAAAATTGTGTAACACACTTTAGACGCATTCAGACACATTTATAAATGCCTGCTGCTTGGGTGTTAATTTAGGTGTACATGCCTTAGGAGCTTTAAAATGTTGTGAGGCTGAAGCAGGCATTTGGGTCATGCGGCTGCTGTGATTGGCTTTCACAGCGGTCACATGATGGGAAAGCTCCCGATCGCTAGTATGCATCAGGAGCTTTCTGGTCCCCACCGGCAGGGGCGGACTGATGATTTGGAAACACGGGCACTGCCCGAGGGCCCGGGGTCAGTAGGGGGGCCCCATGAAATGCCCCTGGTACCTTTTTCATAGGCTTTTTTGAGTTTGGGCAAGGACACAGGGGCCTCATGATCCCCTGTTGCCCAGGGGCCCCATGAGTTGTCAGTCCGCCCTTGCCCACCGGTGTCTGTTCTGGGTGCACATAGGGCATGCACTCTCAGCTATGTTTGCATAGGGCTGCAATTATGCAGCCAACTGGCATTAAATCCCACCCACCCGCCGAGAGGCCGCATACTGTAACTGCATGACATTTAGTTTTCTCTATGGGCTGTGCACATTTGAAATTTAATTAAAGAAATTGGGATGTTACCATAGAGCGGTACTATAGGAACCAGATGTTATTCATGTGAGCCATGTTCTGAAATCAATGTGATATGGAGAATATGTGAACATGAACTTCATACACCTCACAACTGAGTAGTTGTTAAAAGATACCTTCTTTATTACAATTTTAATGGTTAAAAACAAGAAGAAAATGTGTACAACAGCACAGAGAAATTTGTAGGTCAACATAAACAATCTAAAAAGACACAAAGGCACCAAGACATTATTACATCTAGAATAAGTTGGAATAAGTAACCCCCTTATGTAATTAACGATACCAAAGTGGTGCCATAAGGCCTACCAGTTCTGTAGTGTTCAATTGATCCCACTGGGGGATATTCAAATTCCAGTTAATTTTTGCTCAAACATGTTTTACGACAATCAGTCGCTTCTTCAGGAGCTAGTTTGGTGCATCTAATGAGAAAACAAACATACATATTTAATGATATCATCATAATCATAGTAGCCAGTCATGCCCAAACACTAGAGAATGGTACTTTTACTTACCAATGTAGAGGAACATAATAAAACTTAATTCTAACAGAAGAGAGCGGAGGCCATTAGGACCACCAGGTCTATGTGTCTGGATATGGGGGCACATCAAGAAGCTGCAAAGGGCACCATAAAGGATAAGGCAAGTCCATAAATAAGTCTAATTGGATCTATGGTAGACATATATAAAGGTATACATATTACCGTAAAGCTTTAAGTAATAAAACACTCACAACAATTCCATTTGTTCCCACCATTATAGAGGCCACAGGTTTCATAGGCCACATATGCAGTAGAGTTGGGCTTGAAGTTGAACATATGTTTGACTCGAACATCAGCTGTTTGTGTGTTCAGCAACACACAAACAGCAAGGGTGCAAGGTGGGCTGTTCACCGGCAGTGCCCCACAAAGCACTGTACCCACCCTAACAGTGCATTGTGATTGGTCAAAGTAATGCACCTGACCACAAGTGCAATCACAGCACATGATGACATCACAAGGGTGATGTCAACCCGGTGACCCTGTCCCCTTGTGACGTCATCACAATATTTAGGAACTGTCAGGTCGGCTCAGCTGTCAGACATCGGGAGCCAGCGTCGAGAGCGGAGTGTTTTTTTAATGCTTTTTTGGGTCTGCTGCGGCGGTGGGCATGCTGATTGACATTTAATCTACTTTGGGGGAGTGTTTTATTTTTGTTTTTAATAAAGGACTTGTCAAAAAATGCCTTCTATCATGTTTACACTAAACTTTTTTTTTTACCATGTACCCCATACTCATTCACATGGGGGGAGGCAGGATATGGGGGCTCCATTGTTAAAGATGGCTTCCAGATTCTGATAAGCCCTCCTGCCTGCAGACTCCCACAACCACCAGCAATGGTTGTGGGGAAGAGGCCCTTGTTCCCATAAACACGGGTGCTTTGGGGGGAGCTCCCCTGCCCAAACCCCCCCCCCCCCGAGTTGAGGGCATGTGGCCTGGTATGGTTAAGGAGGGGGGGGGGGCGCTTGCTCATCTCCCCACCTTTCCTGACCTGCCAGGCAGCATGCTCCGATAAGGATTTTGGGGGAACTGACTAACTGTCACTGACATCCCCAGTGACACCAATACAGTGATCAGTACTAATAAAAAGCACTGACACTGCACTAATGACACTGGGCAGGAAGGGATTAACATCTGGGGTGATCAAAGGGTTAACATTTTGCTGTGTGTGTTTCACTGTTTGCTGTGTGTACTTTACACAGAAAGCACACTGATTTGTATGGCTCTGCTATGCCCTTGGGAATCACCAGCAGGGGACCAATGGCGGCACGGGTAGGGAAAGTGCACAGCTCGCAGAAACCCCCTATCCGGAAATCAAAATCATGTATATATACGTGATTTTGCTCACCCCAACTGTCCTGTAGCAGTATTTCTGCTGTAGGATGGCAGGAAAGCAGTTAATAGTAGTCCCATGACTGTGGCTTGCCTTACTGTGATCATATGTGAGCTTCTTGCTGGTGTATTCAGCAATCTATTCATCTCATTTTGACTTTTACAAAGAGAAGAGAATAAAAACTCTGTAAATAAAATCCGGGTCAGTATGAACTTACCCAGCACTGTCCTCAATCTTGTGTTACTCTTCAGCTTATTCTGCCACAACTCTTGGCATGAAGTGAACACAAATTTGACTCTTGTAAAGTTCACTGACAATTTAAAGCGTGATATCATGCGTGTTTCTTACCAAATCACGGACACCATTGTTTAACACTTACTGAACCTAATACTTTTGCACAGCATTGTACATCTACTGACACAAGGCCAGGTGCTGCCAATCCTCATGAAAGGAAATACTTCTTTTTACATAATATTTGTTTTTATTTATTAAAATTTGACATGAAGAAATGTCATATCTTCAGAGTTTGCATACAAGAAAATGTGTTATAGCTTTATGGACCAGGACGTAATGACTTTCCTGCAATCCCTTCTCATGCTGAGTCTACATCAGTGATTGATGGATATTTGCATTTAAACAAAGGCAATAGCTGGCCTGATGTTTCCATTTCAGAGTGATAACTCTTAAGTCAGGTACGTGTCCTTCAAACTTTGACACTGGACAGCTTTGACTTTGGAACATTTTTTAAAAAAATGAATGTATCTGTTATGATTTCGGAAGGTGACATGCCCAGCCATTGGAGTTATACTGTTGTTCTGGCTCTGGAAATAATGCTTGGAATATTAGTGAATGCATTTATTACATCCATAGCTCTCTATGACTCTGGAGAAGCAAAACCCATGGGCAGTGTCTACAAAATCCTGCTCTGTTTGGGCATTACTAACATTTCATTTGACATCTTGATGTCCGTTGGGTTCGTCGATTTGTACAATCTCAGAATCTTTATCAAGACTGATGCCGTCTATATTTTTCTTTATCTGTTGTTGTTTTCTATCAGTTCATGTGCATGGCACACAGCCACACTTAGCTCCTTCTATTTTACAAAAATTTCTAGCAGCAAGTTCATTTTGTTTGCCTGGATGAAAAGGAAGATCAGTGCCATTGTGCCATTGATGTTATTGTGGGGTGTACTGGTGTCCTTACTGAGCAGCTTGTCTGTCATGTACCCTCACGTCATTTTCAGGAATAGTACAGATAAAAATTCTTCTCTCATAGATGTCCTATCAGGATCAATGTCCTCATTTATTAATGCCACAATCACTTCAGTTAGTTCCCCTTTGCTCATCATTTTAATCACTACAGTGTCTACAGTTGTGAACCTGAAGAAGCACAGTCATCGAATGAAGGGTGTCCAGACATCTGATGGTGAGCGTCTCAAATCCTACGAGAAGGTTGTTTTTAGAATGACACAGACCTTGCTTTTCTACGTAATATTCTATGTTGTGGTGGTCATTTTCTATTTTGCCATCATCACACAGATGGAGTCTGCATTCTGGTTATCACTTCTTATGATATCATCCTTCTCCCCGGTGCAATCTGTTCTTCTTGTTCTTGCTAACCCCAGACTGAAGGCATCCTGGAAGGAAATCTTCTTGTGTGTCCATCTTCGGGAAATGTTGAGCAGAGGAAACCAACAAAAGTGATTGTGAGTCTTTTTGTGTAGATGGTATCTAAAGACAAAATGGTCATCTGGACCTTCTAGTATCCAGAAAAAAAGTATCAGACATTTTTCACATGTTGGTAATCCCACAGATAATGACGTATAACAGGTGGATCTTGTTTTTATCTATAATGAAACTCAAAGAATCTTTATTTCTTTTAAAATTATAGTTCTACCTCCAAATTTCTTGTAAGGGCTGTATTTTTGCTGAGCAGATATCTTCTAAAATGTATCAAAATTCAGTTAGCAGTATTGTTGCCTATTTTCCTGTACCACACGTTCTGATTGTTTACACGTGTGGTCAGGGGCGGACTGACAACTCATGGGGCCCCCGGGCAATAGGGGATCATGGGGCCCCTGTGCCCTTGCCCAAACTCAAAAAAGCCTATGAAAAAGGTACCAGGGGCATCTCATGGGGCCCTCTACTGACCCCGGGCCCGAGTTTCCGAATGGTCAGTCCGCCCCTGCATGTGGTTCCCTCTGAAGAATGATCTATGGTGGATCAATTTCAAAAAGTGTTTGGCAGGTGGTGAGAAGGAAAAATATTTTAACCCCTAAATCCAACACCATAATTCCACAGCCTTGAGCACTGCATGCAGCTGTGGGGTGTTTGAGGCACAGCCCCATTCAGTTGAACGAGTCAGGTTTGGTGGAACTTGTCAAAAACATTTTGTTTATTTAGTATTCACTTTTTGGAAAATGAGTAAGGGTTCTTTGTACCCCTTATCTATTTACAAAGGGGGGTGCACCCTTATAGTTAAAGGGGGCCTCCAAATGCCAAAAATTCCCCAGCTAGGCCTGGATTGTGGCAAAGAACCCCTTGACCTCGTAAACATGGAGGCGAGTTGCTTTGCCAAGGTGGGTCCCCTAAAATGCCACCTTCCATTTTAAGGGCTGTGGTCTGGTTTGGATCAGGGTGAAGGCTGCATTTTGGAGTTATTTCCTCTCATTTTCTGTTTTGGCTATAAGGACAGATAGTGAAGGGAAATCTATCCAAAGGTACACCTATGACAACAAAAACTGGGGTAATAGCTCTCCCTTGTGCTAACCAAAATGAAAAAAATGCCTTTAGTTCTATTTTAAATAAAAAAAAATTTCTAAAATGGTCAGTAAGCAGTCACACCTTTATATCATTGTTCACGTTTTTTAATTTAATTTAGGCTGTTTATGTAAATATTACTACATTTATTAATTTACAGTTATTATTCCTCAGTTATTATTCCTCTCATTTCCTACCCCAGGGATTACCCATC